TCCTTTTAATTATTGTAATTAATGAATTACAATTCTAAGGATTCATTTAATCTCAGCTTGGGTTATTTAAACTTGTTTCATTTTTATATATTACTGGTCATCATAAACATGTCATTTTAACTGTTAAACAAGTCTTTAATCACCTATGAAAATAACTAGGTTTCACAAGAAAACCATCAGATTTCAATTTTTGTTTTTTAGTAGAATTGAGAATGGAAACAGGGAATGTGTCAAAATTATACAATTACAAGAGACTATAAAATTTACTCTAGTTAACGGAGAATTTGAATCAACCGAGTTCGACTCATTGATCAAACAGAACCGGAACCAAAAAAATTGTTTGTTATAAATCATGTCAGTACCGATGTACTATCAAGAATTTTACTTGACTCATACAAGTTTTTGACACAACAAGGTTCAACTGAAATTGATTTTGTTATCAATAAATTAAAAGCAACATAATATTATGGTTATTATTAAAGATATGAACATTCACAGTACTACAATCTGGCGATGCTTATATTTTGGTCTTAGATACATGATTTTTTATTAGTTGTCATTGGCTGTCAACTAGCTTTCATTATTAAACTGCGAGAAACCTCAGATCGGTACTTTGTGTCTTTTGTGCTTTATATAGATCTGATAAGTAAAGCCCTTTTCAACTGATTTTTATAGTTTGTTCATAAGTTGAGCTGTTACACAAATGTCCCTGGTTAGGGGAGGGTTGGTGGGCCCGTAAACATGTTTAACCCGGCCACATTCTGTATGTGCCTGTCCCATAGTCCTTTGATTTTGTTTGTTATAAACATGATAAATATCTTTTTGTCGACCGTGGGAGACCCTCATGGGTAGTCAAGGTCGGTAACTATCTTTTAATAAGACAGATAAAAATACTTTGAATTTGACCATAGCTGTCATTTTAGTACCAGAATCTAAGACAAATGAGACAATTTCAATTTTGAAATTATAAATTTTCCCCACCTTAGTAGCCATATTCCAACTTCACCTGCACATGCAGTATACATTTCTCAACTCAAACCATATTCAGGAGCTTGAAGATGTCTGGGAAAATAATAAAGAGCCAGGGTCTCATCTTTTTTTCTCAAAAAGTATTTAGGCAATTTACTAAGACCTAATACTAGTAGATAAATATTGTCTAATTCACAAATAATACAGGATGGTCTTGTGTTAGAGATTCTAGGTGCTTACGTTGAGTATCAATTTATTTACTTTACAGTTTTTTTCCTTTATTTGTCTTTGTACTAATATGTTCCTTTTTGTCGTATGACTCTTGATGTGGCTAGGTATTTGTGCATCCAGCTATCTGGGTTTTGGTTTTGGGCATTTGTGATGAGGGTGGGTACAGAGGTACCATTTAGACACATAAGTTTTTAATGAGTTGTTTTCATTTTGTTAATCGTTTTATGTATATCTTACTTAATTTGTACTTTATCCGGAAAGTATATATAAAATTATGTTGTACTAAAAAAATTACTCTATGTACTATATAGCTATCAACTGCAAAAACTTTTTTTTATTACTGGTGTCATTATCAGATTTATTTGTATGTTTGTTTGAATTTTTAAGTCATTTGTGTTTACATGTCTGTGATTTATGTTAACCAATTATGTCTATTAGAGTTGCTCACCCAATTTTGTCAATAAAATATAAACAACTGTCATACAAAAAGTAAAATAACAAGAATACCGAACTCCAAGGAAAATTCAAAACGGAAGTCCCTTATCAAATAGCAAAAAAATAGGTAAAAATGTCAAAATTGGGGTACAGCAGTCCACAATGTGTTATAATCTTAATAACTACAAAAACAAATAACTATTTCAACAAAGAAAAATAAATGGCATATAGACAATCTATAGACAAGGTACATCAGGAAAAATGAAAGACAAGAATACGAAAATTACCATAACATAATAACGCAATGGCGGAATGTATAAATACCTAGCAACACCAAAAGAAAATATACCAAAAATGGACTAAACAGTAAAGGTTAGACACTGGTGACATTTTATAAAGTCTGAGTAGCAGCTGCAAGCTCTTGAATACAGAATGAGTTGAGAAATGTATATCCCATATGCAGGTGAAGTTGGTATATTGCTGCTAAGGTGGGGGAAATTTTAAAATTTCAAAATTAAAATCATCTCATTTGTCATAGATTCTGGTAATGAGATAACCACTTATGTCAAATTCGAGGTATAAGTCTAACAAGAGTGCACATGCTGAAATGTCTCGCCTACTATACTGACCATTGATTTTATGTTGATAGTACTACAAGTATCACATTAACATTTATGATCCAAGAAAATGAGGTCAAGGTTAGATAAACCAAGCCAGAAATACATGTACACCTTTAATACAATCATTCCATAAAAATATAGATGACCTATTGCTTATAGTATAAAAGAAACAACAAACCATGGAAATTCTATATTGACCAATGAACCATGAAAATGAAGTCAAGGTCAGATGAACCCTGCCAGACAGACATCTACACCTTAAAATCATTCCATGCATCAAATATAGTTGACCTATTGCTCATAGTATCTAAGAAACAAAGTTAACCAGGAAAACTGAACAGTGACAAATGAACTATGAAAATGAGGTGAAGGTCAGATGATACCTGCAAGACAGACATATACACCTTACAATCATTCCATACACCAAATATAGACTTTATTAGTTGACCTATTGCTTAAAGTTAAAGAAAAACAGACAAAAACACAAAAACTTAACATAAGCAATGAACCGTGAAAATGAGGACAAGGTCAAATAAAACCTGCCAGACTGACATGTACATCATAAAATATTTCCATACACCAAATATAGTTAACCTACTGCATACAGTATTAGAAAAACACACCAAAACACAAAAACTTAACATTGAGCAATGAACCGTGAAAATAAGGTCAAGGTCAAGTAAAACCGGCCTGACTGACATGTACATTGTAAAATATTTCCATACACCAAATACAGTTGACCTATTGCATACAGTATTAGAATAACAAACCAAAACACAAAAACTAAACTATAACCCCTGAACCATAAAAAATGAGGTCAAGGTCTGATGACACCTGCCATTTGGACATGTACACCAAATATAGTAGACCTATTGCTTATAGTATAGGAGATATGGACTTGACCACGAGAACTTACCCTTGTTCACTGATCCATGAAATGAGGCCGAGGTCAAGTGAAAACTGTCTGACAGGCATGAGGACTTTGCAAGGTAGGCACATACCAAATATAGTTATCCTATTACTAATAATAAGAGAAAAATTAACATATAAAAAATGTTAACTTTTCAAGTAGTCACTGAACCATGAAAATGAGGTCAAGGACAATGAACATATGACAGACGGAAACTTCATATCATAAGGCATCTATATCTGAAGTATGAAGCATCCAGGTCTTCTTCCTTCTGAAATATTAAGCTTTTAAGAAGTTAGTTAACGCCACCACCACCGGATCACTATCCCTATGTCGAGCTTTCTGCGCCCAAAGTCGCAGGCTCAACAAAAATGAAGCGGAGAAAGCCGTGTCTGTTGTTTCTTTAATTTCTAGTTCTAAGTTTCATATCAATGGAACCCAATTAGAAAAGTTTGGATTGTTAATGGAAAGAACATCACCAATATAACTGAATGTGAAATTAAATTATCTGGCTTCTTTGATCTTCTTGTTTTTGATAAGTGCCTGAGGGAACTCCAACTCATATGAAAATAAGAAGAGGTCGGCATGGAGAGGCGCACAGTTCGTTCCAATAGGAATGCCAACAATTTGTTGAAAAAGTCTACCTCCAAATATGTTGTCAATAAGAAACTCCAGCATACTGATTACTTGTTCCTCTGTGTAGCATGTTTTACCTTTTTGTTAACTATAATAACCAAATAATGCTGTATGGTATCCAAAAGCAATAAATTTATAGCATATGCTACTATTTTTATATTGAAAAGCATTGTGGATTATTTCTTCTACAAGATTTTTCAATTTCATCTGGGAAATGGTGGTTACTGTAATAGAGGTTTGAAAAATCAAAGTTTTGATAGAACTAATTTCAGGGAAAGATCGAGATTTAAAATTATCCAGAAGTTCTCGGAATTTTTAGAATCCACATATGGTTAATACATGTACCACTACACGAGTAAACAGTTTTACAGTATTTCTAAAGACCCTCTTTCTTCTTTGAATTTTCTTTGGAGTTCCTTATTTTTGTTATTTTACTTTTCACTGCGGACAGAATTTTTGTCAATCTAATGGACAATTCCTTTGTAGAACATGCAGATGAGCCTGCAATGTACCATACAAGTGGGAGGTTTAGCTAAGTATAAACCCAGGTGTTAACCACCATTTTCTTCAGAAAATGCCTGTACTAAGTCATGAATATGACAAGATGTTTTCCATTTGTTCTGTTAGTTAATGTAGTCAGGTTTTATGGACTTACCCCTTTTTTCAATATCCTTGGAGTTTGGTATTTTTGTTTATACTTTCTTGTTACTGCGACACATTATTTTCCCTTAGCATTTGCTATCATAAGAATTTAATCAATACTGTAATTGTCATAAAAAAGCATCAAGTGGTGAATTGTACTAAATTGTACATTTAGTAATTGTACAAGAGGGTCTTTAGAAATATTGTAAAATTAGCCAAACACCCAACTGTGAAATTTACTATATATAAAATGTTTTCACACTTTGGAAAAACCACTGAAATATATTTTACACACATCTACACAAGGTAAAAAGCTTGTGTGTCTCAACAGAAAATAGAATAATTTTAAGACTCTTAATATCATTCTATTAATATTCCAATTTAAAGCAGCAGGTCAATGAAATCAAATAATAATCAATCTGTCTATTTTTTAACATAAAAGTTAATTTGAAAATTTTAAGGCTAATCTACCTCATACAGACATATCAGGCACTATAATGAATCAGTATATGTCTATCAAAGATTATAACTAAATAATGAATCATTTATATACCTACCAAAGTATCAACAAGGTATTTACAGAAGGAAATAACCAGAATATCATTGTAGAGGTTCCAAACAGGAGTGCACACTCCAATCTCATTCTCCAGCTGAAATAATCAAAACTACTGATTAATATTTTACTAAACAACAACAATATACAATAAACAATTGAAGAGCAATGTTGAGTTTACCAAGGAGGTTATATGAGAAGGAGAGAGGACAAAAGACGCTAATTACACATAAAATGTTACCGCCTTTTCTGTAAGTGGGTGTTAATTAGTTGAGATTGATTCAGTCGCAGAGGGAGACTTTGTTCTAATTACACATCCGAGTAAGAACAGAAACACCCAAAGTGTTATATATGAATGGGGTGGAGGGTTTAGTGAACAATGGAACCGTACAGAGACACACTAGAAAAACAGGCTGGAGATGAACTTCTTAAATGTGATGTATGTTTGTGCTAGAGAACTTAGTCGAGGTAGTGACTTAAATGGACACCATTCATAAAAAAAAAAAAAAAAAAAAAAAGGTTTATTTCTTGTTTAGTTAACTTGCCCACAGTGTATGTTTTGTTGTGCCCCCTTATCTGCTATGTATAACTATAGTTGAACGTTAATATGTGGAATTTGGATTATTTACAGTCATTGTGTGTCATGAACTGATACTTCGTTAAGATAGGGGGTACGAATTATTTGATTTTTTGTTGTATGTTGGCAAATTTAACTATTTGTGGATTGTTTTAATAAAAGATCATATTCATCGAAAGGTTGTTATAATTCTGCTGTAAATTTACGTATGAGTGATTTTTTTTTACAAGTCCGTGCGTAGACTTGTTGTGTGTGGGGGATTGTTTTCTGCGCAGCCGGTGCCTTCATACCTGAATATATCTATTATAATTTATTTTATTTTGCTATTTAGGGGTTTAATATACGTTTTTCAGGGCTCTTCTTTATATTCAGATGTTCATTTTTTTAATGAATTGACTTGAGATTTGCATCTAGCGTGAATGGTCAAGTTTGCCTGCGTATGGACATTAATCTTAGTCAAAAGTATTTACTGGGAGTAATTTAAACTTTACAAAACTGTTTTGGGAAGGTAGTAACGGGATATGTTTTTTTTTTTCATGTAAAGGATTTTTGAAAGTTTAGTTGTGAAAGTTAGCCTTCCACTGGTGCTCGCTTTAATAGGGATAATAGATTTACATTGTCTTGTGATGGAATATGTTTATTTATGTATGGTAAAAGATTTATGCAGTCTAGATTGCGTGTGATGATATATAAAAAAAAAAAATGTGCTGAGTCCAATTTGGAACGTGCATAAAAAAAGTACACAAATACAATATTTTAAATTTTATATTCATGTGGAGGGTTTAGTGAACAATGAAACAGTACAGAGACGCACTAGAAAAACAGGCTGGAGATGAACTTCTTAAATGTGATGTATGTTTGTGCTAGAGAACTTAGTCGAGGTAGTGACTTAAATGGACACCGTTCATAAAAAAAAAGAAGGTTTATTTCTTGTTTTATTAACTTGCCGACAGTGTATGTTTTGTCGTGCCCCCTTATCTGCAATGTATAACTATAGTTGAACGTTTATATTGATGGATTTATTTCTATGGACATTCTATATGTTAAAAGGTTGGTTCTGACACTTGACCAATGTCAGAGCCAACTCTTGTGATTTTTATTCTTGACTGCAGCAAGTATGCGTTATGCCAAAGAAAATTTTTATATAAGTGCGGAATAATGGAATTTGGATTATTTACAGTCATTATGTGTCATGAACTGATACTTCGTTAAGATAGGGGGTAGGAATTATTTGATTTTTTGTTGTATGTTGGCAAATTTAACTATTTGTGGATTGTTTTAATAAAAGATCATATTCATCATAGGTTGTTTTAATTCTGTTGTATGAGTGATTTTTTTTTACAAGTCCGCGCATAGATTCAGATTTGTCTGAAAATTTCAGGGCAGATAGATCTTGACCTGATAATCAGTTTTACCCTGTGTCAGATTTACTCTAAATGCTTTGGTTTCAGAGATATAAGCCAAAATCTACATTTTACCCCTATGTTCTATTTTTAGCCATGGCCGCCATCTTGGTTAGTTGGCGGGGTCATCGGACACCTTTTTTAAAATAGATACCCTAATAAAGATTGTGGCCAAGTTTGGTTAAATTTTGCAGAGTGGTTTCAGAGGAGAAGATTTTTGAAAAAAGCTAACGACGACGGACGACAAGTGATAAGAAAAACTCACCCGAAGGGCCAGGTGAGCTATAAAGTTAACGACGACCCAGGTGAGCTAAAAATAAAATCATTCCCTTCCATACAACCCAAGAAAACTTTGACAATTGTAAATAAAATGCCCTGATGGGTGCAGCTTGATATGACCGGGGGGATTGTTTTCTGCGCAGCCGGTGCCTTCATACCTGAATATATCTATTATAATTTATTTTATTTTGCTATTTAGGGGTTTAATATACGTTTTTCAGGGCTCTTCTATATATTCAGATGTTCATTTTTTTAATGAATTGACTTGAGATTTGCATCTAGCGTGAATGGTCAAGTTTGCCTGCGTATGGACATTAATCTTAGTCAAAAGTATTTACTGGGAGTAATTTAAACTTTACAAAACTGTTTTGGGAAGGTAGTAACGGGATATGTTTTTTTTTTTTTCATGTAAAGGATTTTTGAAAGTTTAGTTGTGAAAGTTAGCCTTCCACTGGTGCTCGCTTTAATAGGGATAATAGATTTACATTGTCTTGTGATGGAATATGTTTATTTATGTATGGTAAAAGATTTATGCAGTCTAGATTGCGTGTGATGATATATAAAAAAAAAAAATGTGCTGAGTCCAATTTGGAACGTGCATAAAAAAAGTACACAAATACAATATTTTAAATTTTATATTCATGTGGAGGGTTTAGTGAACAATGAAACAGTACAGAGACGCACTAGAAAAACAGGCTGGAGATGAACTTCTTAAATGTGATGTATGTTTGTGCTAGAGAACTTAGTCGAGGTAGTGACTTAAATGGACACCGTTCATAAAAAAAAAGAAAAAAAAAGAAGGTTTATTTCTTGTTTTATTAACTTGCCGACAGTGTATGTTTTGTCGTGCCCCCTTATCTGCAATGTATAACTATAGTTGAACGTTTATATTGATGGATTTATTTCTATGGACATTCTATATGTTAAAAGGTTGGTTCTGACACTTGACCAATGTCAGAGCCAACTCTTGTGATTTTTATTCTTGACTGCAGCAAGTATGCGTTATGCCAAAGAAAATTTTTATATAAGGGCAGAATAATGGAATTTGGATTATTTACAGTCATTGTGTGTCATGAACTGATACTTCGTTAAGATAGGGGGTAGGAATTATTTGATTTTTTGTTGTATGTTGGCAAATTTAACTATTTGTGGATTGTTTTAATAAAAGATCATATTCATCAAAGGTTGTTTTAATTCTGTTGTATGAGTGATTTTTTTTTACAAGTCCGCGCATAGATTCAGATTTGTCTGAAAATTTCAGGGCAGATAGATCTTGACCTGATAATCAGTTTTACCCTGTGTCAGATTTACTCTAAATGCTTTGGTTTCAGAGATATAAGCCAAAATCTACATTTTACCCCTATGTTCTATTTTTAGCCATGGCCGCCATCTTGGTTAGTTGGCGGGGTCATCGGACACCTTTTTTAAAATAGATACCCTAATAAAGATTGTGGCCAAGTTTGGTTAAATTTTGCAGAGTGGTTTCAGAGGAGAAGATTTTTGAAAAAAGCTAACGACGACGGACGACAAGTGATGAGAAAAACTCACCCGAAGGGCCAGGTGAGCTATAAAGTTAACGACGACCCAGGTGAGCTAAAAATAAAATCATTCCCTTCCATACAACCCAAGAAAACTTTGACAATTGTAAATAAAATGCCCTGATGGGTGCAGCTTGATATGACCGCAGAGATCGAACCCAGAACAGTTGGGGCAAGTATGGACACTACATTCAAGCTTGATACAGCTCTGAATTTGGATTGTGATTAAATATTTGACACAGCATAGGTTTCTGACAGAGAATGAATGTGGTCAAAGAACTGAAAAACTTGAAATTGGACTTTTACCTATTATAGTCCAATATCCAAAATCTAAATACATGTACCAGTTAGATTCAGCATATCCAAGTACAACAAAAAACAATGTATTTATTTATTTATGGACAATATTAGCTAAGTTTTTAATTGGGTTGGCTTCATAAAAAAGATTATATAAAACATTCTGTAAAATAATTTATGCAGAATAACAAACAAATCTACCAAAAAGTTCTTAAAATAATTACTAAAAAAAATGAATATAACAATTTCTAAAATATCATTCATCATTAATAGAATATCTTTTAGAAATCTAAAAAAGTTACCTTTAATTATTTCCCTAAATATCTAATAATGGACAGTAAATTTCAAACTATATTTATACATAATTACTTCTCTATTAGAAATTAGAATTTGATGGCCCATGCTGTATTTATTTTTAACTATGAATCTACTTACAATTTCTAAAATTGTGCAATTCATATTACAATCACTAACAAGTATGGACACAACATTCAAGCTTGATACAGCTCTGAATTTGGATTGTGATTAAATATTTGAAACTGGATGGGTTTTTGACATAGAAAGCATGTGGTCTAAGAACTTAAAAATTTGAAAATGGACATTTACGTATTTATGGTCCAATATAAAAAATCTAAATACAAGGTTAGATTCAGCATATCAAAGAACCTGAATAATTAAATTTCTGATGAAATCATACAAAGTTAAATTTTGGAACCTTTGGACCTCAATATGGACCAATTTAAAAAGGGCCCAAAATCAAAAATCTAAATACACGGTTAGATTCAACATATTAAAGAACCCCAAGAATTTCTTCAGTTTTCAGTGGAAACAAGGGAAAAAATGCAGTGTTGGCAATACATAGACCTCACACTGGATTTTACCATGTCAGGTGAGTTTTAATGTTTATGATACTTACAGCATCTAAAGTATTATTGACCAAAGAATCAACAACTTTAAGCAATCTATCAGCATAAATCTTTGCCTCCTGCAATTAGAAAATACAGAATCTTATTATGCATCTCCTTAGTATGCTGTCTGTGTATCGTAGCCAAGTTAACAGCCAATATCTAGGAACTAAAAGTTCCAAGGTTTCAAATTATCACCCGACTTCAATGCATACATGACTGAATAAGAAAAATATGTCACAAAAATAATCATTAGGGTACCATAATTCTGATAAATGATAGATGTAGGCTTGGAGTATTATGTAAGTGTTTAACCCCAACCATGACTGCATTAATCCACTATTGTCTACATAAGGAGATGCCTGTACATGTACCAAGTCAGGAATATGACAGTTGTTTTCCATTTGTTTGATGTGTTTGAGCTTTTGATTTTGCCATTTTACATGTATAAGGGACTTTCCCTTTTGAATTTACCTTGGAGTTCAGTATTTTTGTTATTCTACTTTTTATCTAATTGGTGCATAATATATTTTTTCTATAATAGTTTTTCTTCAAATTCAATATTTTTAATAACATTGATGGCAATATCTTAGGACAGATAGAATCATTACCCATACTATGAGAAAAGACAGAGCCAGTACAATAGCATGTGGTGCTTCAGAAGGACTTGATAAATTAAAAGTTTGTGTTTTACCTCTAACACATTTTTTAAGGTAACCATTTAGTCGAAGAATGTAGCAATTATGTATGGTTGCAGATTTTTTAGTAAAGGGGCGGGGGTAGAAAATGCATAATTTAATGAAGAAAAGAGGCAGATGATTCCAAGGGGCCATTAAAAACTCATAAATTGAGAGAAACTGACAACACCATGGCACAAAACACTACATAGAAAAATAGAGACTGAGCAACCCAAACCCCACCAAAACTGGGGGTGATCTCAGATGCACCAGAAGAATAAGCAGATCCTGCTCCACTACTATCACTTGTCGGCTTCCTCTTAATAAATATGTTGCTATGTTATACTACGTGATAAGTGCTACAGAAAGGTAAGCAGATTCTGCTCCACTAGTGGTACCCGTTTTGTTTCTAATGCTAAGTACAAATTTGGTAATGAGTCTCATTGCATTAAGTCAAAATCGAAGAAAATAGTAAAAGATTGTGGTTACAACAATTGGAACATATCCATGGCCATCTGTGACACAGGTATTCCATAATGGTCAACCAACTCGTGAAATATATGAAGTAAAAACATGAATTTTAGATTGTTTTTCACTGCCCGACTTTCTATATCTAATATTTGTTACACATACATTTTAATATTTAAAGGGTATGATTTACATGATATATCACCAACCAAAATCATTTGAAATGGAAAATTGTGCATTACAGGATTTTGAAGTGGTGGTTATAATTATGTTTGAAGCCAGTTTGGATTCTCCAAATGGTTAAATACATAGCCGCTGTTTTTAGTCCCTTCATAATATTATGATATCAGGAAGAAACATATTGTTTTTGAGGTCAGTATGTCCGAATTAAGGTCACTATGATTTCGTTTTTTTCAGCAGAAGTTTTTTCGTCAGTATGGTTATTCGACTGGGGATGGGGCTTGTTCCTTTGAGTGAACACCAAGTTTCTGCTGTCCTGAGTCGGATAGAGATAAATCTACAAAAGATCATAACCGTAAATGACAAAATACCCTCAGAAAAGTACAATCTTAATGCAAATCATACATGAAAACTGTCATTCAATGATATGCAGTGGGTTTGGTTTCTAGGTAGTTTCAAAGCATGCAATAAGCTAACAAAATGTAAGATTTGTGTAATTGCCGTTTAAGTACCTTACAATAGTTACATAACTTTGGTACCACATTATTGATTACATAAACCTTGGTCAGTATAATTAAGTCGTTGTTAAGAGTTATTCTGGTGGTTAAGGTGTTGATAAATACTCATTTAAATAATATAAATAAACAAAAAGTAACTGTTTGAGATTTCCATATATGCACATGTATTATACAATGATACATTTTTATTCAATGCAGAAAAGACGCATATTTCAATAAATCAGGTTTATAATAGTAATTTATTGCAGGTTTCAAAACTCTTGCTAGGCAACCAAAAAATGATAATAACTAGAAAACAAATTGTCATTTGTTTACACTTTTATACCTTGTCTATTGATATTATGAAATTAACTCTATTTGAAGAGGGGGCCAAAAATGGCCCTTATTATACCTTGTCCTTTGGTACCGCCAATGTTATTACAGTACATTTAATTTGTACACTAGCTGATATCTGTTAAAAAAGTTTACTTACATCTTTGACTGCTTGTGAACCATTATTCTGAAGATAGGTTTGAGTGTTGTTAAAGGCAAGTAAAGTATTTTCAACATTGTCCTACAACAGAAAATTAGAATGAAAACATTATTTGGTATCTTCCCCTCTAGCTATGTGAGAAGACATCTAAATACAGGTAACTGAATCTGAGAATGATTAAAATTTGATGAAAAAGGGGTAACATAAATAGATGATGATCTTTTGGTAGCATGACTTGAATTTTTGTAGACAATAGCTAAGTTTGATCGTTTATAGCTAATACGACTAAAGTGTAAATACAGTCTATTTTTTTTATTTCCACACATTATAAATACATTTAATTTAATTTGTACTTTTTATTTTTATGTCAAAATTAAGTATCCAAAATACAACTTGTCTTCAATGGATGTATGCAATAAATGTACATCATGGTGTGTAATTTATTTGATCATCTGATTATTATATGTTCATGTAATGAAAAGGAATAAAATATTTCACACAATACTGATTCAGGGTATCTGTAATAAATTGTTAAAGAAACACAAATAAAATTGCGGGTTTCAGTAAATACACATGAAACTAAAAATAGAATAGGGAATGGATACAGGAATATGTCAAAGAGACAGCAACCCTACCCAAGAGCAGAAAACAGTCCAAGGCCACCAAAGGGTCTTCAACGCACCAAGAAAACCCCGCACTTTGAGGTGGGCTTCAGCATGCCCCTTAACAACAATGTATACAAGTTCAAAGAAATAGATGCCACAATACTAAACTTCAAAAAATACAAATGAAACAAAATTAAAAAAACATTCAAGACTAACAAAGGCTATGGTTCCTGCCTTGAGATAGGTGCAAAAATGTTGTAGGGTTCAAATGTTTTGTGAGATCTCATACAGTTTGATTTCAGTCATGTCAAATTATTTACTATAGGCTACATAGGGGACCAAAATGCCAATACCATTTATGCCATCGGATCAACATGAAAAAGGTTTTTTTTTTATACAAAGTCTTCTAACCCTCATTTCTGAATGTTTCAAATCTTTGGTCTGCTAGTTATAGAAGAAGAAGAAAACAGAATTAAGAACTAATTCTGGTACAATGCAGCTATATTTTTCAGTCAGTCAGAGCTCTGACATAAGCAAGTCAGAATTATCTGACTTCTATTAGTCAGAAATAATTTGATGTAATTGTGTCGTCTCCCTTCTTGCACTTAACAGAATATGACTTCCACAGGTCAGATTGTCCCTTAGCAACACATTTTGACCTACAGATGTCATTTCATGTTCTGACTTGAAGCAGCAGTAACAACCCTTATAAAAAAGAAACATAAGTGGAAAATAAACGCCATGGTGAATAAAAAAAAAAAAGTATGCTTCCGAAGATGTTATCTATCTTCATAAAATTATGATGATTATGATAACTGAATTCTGTTAAATTTGTAAACAAATAATAGAACAGATTTCCAATGTCCCCCGTGATGCACATATTTTATCTGTCCAAGGTCAATAACAAAAAAAAATTTTTTTTTTTTATCTTACTTAGAGAGTTGAAGACTTGAGAGCAGTTTCTGATATATTTAATATTTCCAAGGGCATTATTTTCGAAATTGTCCGTGACATTAACTTGATTTGAATTTGATTAAAATCTGGCAAAATTGTACATGTGAGAGTGCTTACAGTGCAAATTTCCATATAATTAATGTTTCTAAGGGCATAAATCTTTTAAAAATAATTGATCGGCACTGATTTTCAAACTTGTACGAGACATTGCTGATATAAACCTATGATATAAGTTTCATAAAAATCTGGCAAGAATTGTACACATGAGAGCACTAAAATTGTAATTTTCCATATAATTAATATTCCTAAGGGGAATAACTCTTTTAAAAATTATTGATCAGCACTGATTTTTCGAACTCGCGCAAGACATTGCTGATATAAACCTACAATAAAAGTATCATAAAAATCTGGCAAGAATTGTACATGTGAGAGCGCTAACAAGAATGGACGGACAGACACATGGACAGGTGGATGCCTGGTATTCCCTCCCCCCCCCCTGCAATGCGTTGCGTGGGAGACAAAAATTGCATACACAATTCCAATGACCCAACTATTTTCTCCATGCTTTTGCAGTGTATGATTTTCTGCGAAATACGCTTTTGCAGTGTTTGATTTTCTGCAAAATACACACTTTTGCATTGTATGATTTTCTGTGAAATACACACGTAAGTGTTTACGAAATGCACGGTAATTAGAACGGACTTAAGTTCTTTTAATATTGCAGTGTAAACGCACTAGATCTAATAAGATCGATTGGGATCCATCTTGCTTGTGCAAATGTAAACGCGAACTGGTCTTTTTAAAATCGACTCAAATAAAGATTGGTTCAATTTTGTGCAAGTATAAACAGGGTCTTATTCTTTAGTGATTTATGATATTATGCTTTTAATTCATTCTTTATATAACTTAATATAACAAGATTTCTTCAAGTTTCTGATCTCTGGATTTATACATGAAGTCTCTGGCATAAACCATACAACAAAATAAAACTGTAAATGATTTAAAACATAATACATCCTTAAGAAAAAAGGGTAGTACTAGATTCATGTAGGTCAATTTTTTTTAATTTTGATAAACAGTACATGTATTTTTTTAGTTGAATAAATTTTTGCCACTTTAAGTATTACTTATCCTGTATTGACTTTAATAAACTATTTTATTGACCTTTTATTTATATCTAAGTGGAACATTACTTTTTTCTTTCAAAAAAAATAAGGGTTACTTTTATAACTAGTATATTTATATAAAAATAGTTCTGGATCCTGATTTAAAGAATTCAGAACATTTTGACCCGTTAATGTCATGAATGTCTTACATCTGATATTGTTCTTCCTCCTATCAAATCAACAAATACTGTAACAATAAATGTCAGACTGTTTAAATTTCAATTAAAAGAAAAAGAAGAGTTCCTATGGCCCTTGATTTAGCGTTGCACATATTTTATCTGTCCGAGGACAACAACTAAAAAAAAGTTTGTGTTGTTCTTTAAAACTTAATTAATTGCGTAATATAAACTTCTACAATGTTCTAGAAATTTCCCTTCTACAGTGTACTAGAAGTTTCCCTTCTACAGAGTTCCAGAAGTTTTCGTGGTAATTATATATATAGATTCTAAGAAGATCTCTGGAGTTATTGGATTGATGCTTTTATTTACGTTAACAACATCATACTTGTTTATGAACTTATTGGACATATTAATATTCCATTTGGATTCAGCTAGAGAAGATTTCCGTATAAAGAACAGACTATAGGATTGGACATTCAGATATTTTAACAGATAAGTTGACATTTCTTTTTGTATAATATTTCTTGTAAAATTGTATAATAAATCTTGTTAAATTTTATTATTGGTTTGTGTCTTTTGTTGGCTACAATTTAAAGGTGATTTCTGACTGTAACATCAGATACATACAGGTGCCTTATATTGTAGGCTAATTTGATCTTGTTGATGTTATTTAGGTTGTCTTTATTCAATGACTAAGTCCATCATAGTACTTAAATGGACAAACTTCATCAGAGTGCTGTTTAACTGGGGTATTTTCTAAATCTGGAGAATTATGTATAAGGGACAAGGGATAAGGGCCATTTTTGGCCCCACTACCAAATTTTATTTAATTTGTCATGTTTTAACTCTATACCACAGACCTTCTGAAAATGGTTGCATTTTGTGTCTATCGCGTGTATTCTGTTGCCTAGCAACCTGTATAATGGTGGCGATAAACTCATTAAATATGCTAAATATACAGCTTTAATCTATTTTTGTTTACAAACCTGTTTGATAGAGATTTCCAATAAACTAACATTACTAGACATAACCAACCTATATGAACATATCTCGGCCTATTGCATTGATGCATAATGGAGGGGAGCATAGACTGCATGATATTTGTACACATTTTTTTGGGGAATAGATGTTATTCAAAAAATTACCAAATCTTCTATACTAAATCATTGCATATTTTGTTATTAAATTCTGGAAAATTTTATTGACAGCAACCTTTTAAGGAAATAATTTATCAAGTTACCGGTAATCAAATGCACCGATTATACCTTCAATGTTTTCAGTTGACCCATATATTTAGTTCTCAACTGATGAATTCTTAAAACTACTAAAATCAAAATTAAGTTTAAATAAATTAAAATAATGAAATCTGAAGCGAGATGATTTTCTGATTTTTGAATAAGTTTTAAACAGAAGTTTCAAACATGCCGGATTGTAAAAGGTGTACATGACTAACTTCTTTTTTTTTTTTTAGCATAGTTCTATAATTTATTTCAATTTACTTTTGTCAGAGGCAAAAATTCAGATCATTGATGTGTCTATCGGATTATAAATAAAGTTCTTTGTCATCTTTCCGTAGAATTTTATAATATGGATATTATTAGGTCATGATCCATCTTCATATTAAATTTTTTTTTACACTTTATTAAATCAGTAATTTTTTTTTACTTCTTGTTAAAGTCCAAAGATGCATGGGTTCTAGGAAGAGCTTGTATGTGTAATTCAAGGTCATTGCTTACAATATTGTTTTTATGAAATTGTTGGCGTTTAGCTTATATAAAAAGTCTGAAAAACGGACATGTATGGAATATTTGTTTAGTAGGATCCAAATATTTTTATCACCAACTTATTATGGTAAGGGGATACGTACGTTCATCCGCCAGTTCCAAATTAAAAATTTTTAAATTATTTATCAAATTAGGGTTTTACCCGGATATTAAAAGTGACTTACTTAACATGAAAATGTGACAATGTGAGGGGGCAAGCTGTCTTATGACCATACATTCTAGTTTCTAATGTTTTGAATATACATGTACATGTATGTGTATCTCCAATATTCATTTATGGCATTGTTGGTATTGTCGTAGCGTGCTCGCCTCGAATACAGAAGATATTGTGTTAAATCCTCGATTGGAAGCCTCTATCCTAAGCACGCGATATCTATGAGTAAGAGCAAAGATTGGTAAAGTGACATATCTTCCTGTGGACTGTTACCTTGTGAACTAGCACTTTGGGTCAGCATGTCCGTCTTATACCAAGCAGGGTTCAACACAACATAGAACAATCCGTAATCGAGCACACCTTCTAAAATACAACCTATATAGGGAATGTTTTATCTATAAATTTTATAATATCTGGAAAATACTTTCAATACATTGAAATTAAATGGAAGAAATGGTTTTATCTCAAATTTCAACTTTTATCAAGAGACAAAATCTGACAAACCCTGATTTCGACATTTCTGAACTTGTCAGTGAAATATCCTTTTAAAACATCTTTTGCCCACAAAAATATAAATAAATAGATAACGAAAGAAGAAAGAACATCTAACGAAAAAATAGGCATTTAAAATATACAGTAATGGAGCGTTCTTCTGCCAAAAGTACCAAAAGTACAGTAAAAAATAAGTGTCATAATCAAAACCATGAAAGATAACTCAAATTGATCTTATAAAAGGTAAGGGATACATGTTTATACGTGATCTTATGTCAGTGAAAATTAAAGCGGGAATCTGTAGAACCACGTGATCAATAAAAAATACCTGATTTCTTTCATTTTTCATCACGTAATTTTTTTTGATATGGACAAAATGGTTTTAATGGTCTTTGAATGTTTGGTTTAAACTTGAGCGATGTATTTAACCGAAATTAATGGTTGGCAACAACCAGTCCCATTAGGTCCGTAGGTCAAGTAACGTACGTATGTCATTTTATTGGAAATCTCTAATATGCAGTAAATTATACATACACTCACTGTTTAAATGTAACACAATGTAATGCACATTTTTGGGCAAAATCATTGTAATTTCGCCTAGCAACAAAACCATGCCCATAGCAACAGCAAGTTGTTTTCTATTTTACAAGATTCAACTTTAATATGTCGCTTCAAAAAGATTATTTAAGATGCACATTGTAAAAGGTACCAAACTCCAAGGAAAGTGACAAGGATAAAAACCAATGCTCAATATCATCAACAAACAAAACTACAGACAAACAACTGTAATTCTTCAAGAAAATGTGGTAACAAAATGCACTTGTAGAGTACCTTTGTGGAGTATAAAAAATGTAACATTGATCTTATTGTGAAACTGCTCTTTGTCACATTTGCTTCATGAATCAATACATGTCCACCTTATATATTCTTTTCATTATACCCAGTTTTGATGAAATTTACAGATTTTGTCTTTAGTGCTGGGCGTTGAGGTGTAAACTCTTGTAATTTAACAGTTATAGCATAATAACTCCCATATGGGAACATTCTCTCTTTTGACCTATTTATGTATCAACATGTTTATGTGATCCACTATCTTACCGAATCTAAATGGAAATTCAGTATAAGAAAAATTTGTTTGTTTTGGATACTGTTTCTTTCTCTAATTTTTGTATCTGTCGAAACCATTGCCCATTTACATCAAATGATGATACATATATTGGTTATGGATCAAAGAGCTGTTAGGAAACAGAAATGTGAACTGGATGACGAAAGCATTCATCATGATATTAAAAGCTAAGTTTGACCTACTATCTTGCAACTTGGCTAATATCTCTTTATTTCAATATTTATATTGTCATATAAAAAACATATTGCACCATTCTATATACATGTCTCTCTTTTAACGTATATGTATATCTTGAAACTTTACACATTTGGTTTAAAATTTGTGTTTTAGTGTCATCTTTAAATAGCAAATTCAGATCTCGCATCATTAACCAAAAATACTAATACTAGTAATCATGATACCAAGTGGTGTAATAAAAAATAAATCTCATGCTTCTCACGATTTATATAAATTTTTAGAAATAAAATTGTTTAAATCTTTTTTCAGTAAATTCTATTCTGTTTTTCTGGAATTTATAGTTAAAGAGAATTTCAAATTTTCAAAAAATAAGCTGTTTTCCTGGAAATTATCAAATACTCCCTTACAATATGATGTTCATTATTTTATTTTTCTTTAAATTAAAAATAGATATACTTACGAAAATAATAATAGAAATTCATGTTACCGATTCATAAGTGAAAAGGTCAAATGTATATAGGCATAAGCTTAAACTTTGTACGAAGAATTGGTGGCATTTTATAGACAAATTTCTGTTTAATCGCGCTGCTTGGCTATGAAAAAATATAAAATAAACTATCGCACCAACCTTGCACCAAAAAGATTTTTTATCTGAGGTTTGATATATATGAACTTGTCTAAATGTTAAAATTTCAAATTGGTGCAAGCATGGTGTGGTGGTCAAAATTAAGAAAACCACCCCAATTTCTTTATTTTTGCTATGTTAAGTAACATTCCTTCAATCTGTTATAAATATCTAAAATATACTTTAAGCTGTCAATGACATATTGGTTCATTTATATACATGTATGTATAAAATATTTAAAGAATACTTACACTTGTGCCATTGACTGCTGCTTCCAAAACATCAAGCTTACTTTCTAAGTCAGCCTACAATAAATTTATACTATTTCAAAAAATTGAAAAACTTCTAGCTGCATTATTAGAAAACATAGCAAGGTTATCTGCAAAGTTTTCTGATCAAATACTATAATTGTAGATAAATGTTTGTCCTTGATTCATGTATTCTTCTGTACATAATTCCCTTCTATGCCATTTACCATTCTTATAACAACAAACACATTTCCCAATTGACCCACAACTTCTATTTGACTCAAACTTTAAGTTCACCACTGAAAATTACCTACAATGCATCTAATTTAGAAATGGAGTGAACGATTTGTCATTTCAATATATATATAAATATTAAAAAAAAACCAACTAACATTTGGTAAAGGGGGAGTGCGGTGTGCCCAAAGGCTCATGTCACATACAAAAATTACAAAACTAGGTGATTTAAAATTTTGCTTAAAATTAATCTCTTAGTATAAGAAAGGTTTATTGCAAAATATCTTTGAAATATACAGAATAGTCCAAAGATAGCATTTTTCTCTTTTTTTCTTTAATAAAAAAAGTACAAAATTTGCATATTTTTACATATATTTGTTAGTACTGGAGTGACCAAGCCAACAAATTTTCAACTTAAATGGACCACCCTACCTGCAGGCTAAATAATGCAATTTTCGTTTAGAGAAATGTTTATACTTGAATTTTTGCCTGGTCGTAGAATCGAAATATGGCACAATTTAAAAAAAATAAGGTCAAAGGTTAGTGGTTGAGTTTTTCACTAGTGTTCATTTATTTCACAAGAGGTTATAAAAAGTCAGCAAATAATACCTGAATTGTTTACTAAACATGAAATGACAAATGCACGTCCATTATTAACAGCGGATTCTTGATCTCCCATTGAAAAACTTTTATATAGGAAGAGTTTGAAATTTTCTGCATCCCTCTACATAAGCTTATACACGGACTTCTGAACTAGACAGAAAAAAGATGAATTTGTGTCACCACCTGTAAGGGCATGTGTAGCTGGCAGTAGATTACAGATTGTAGGTTCAAGCAACCGACATATTTCATGGACTGGTAAGAAACGCCTTCCGTTTTTTAAATTTGATATGGATCCCATTTGGAACCACAACTCTTCAGTTGACTGAAGCAGCTGCATGCAAAGTCTGGTCTTCATTTAAAGTTGCTGTCTCAACTTCTGTTTTAATTTTTGACAGTTTTAATTCAGATTTTGAATGGCTAGCTGCTTGGATCGCTTCAGAAATTGTGTTTGAACTTCTGAATACTATTTTAGATCTGCCTTGAACCTTCTGTGCCTGAATAACAATTGTTTAGATTTTAGATATTTGGCCCAGTTTTCAAGTTGGTCCAAATTGGGGTCCAAAATTAAACTTTGTTTGATTTCAACAAAAATTGAATATATGGGGTTCTTTGATATGCTGAATCTAACCATGTATTTAGATTTTTTATTTGTTGACCCCGTTATCAAATTGGTTCATATTGAGGTCAAAAGGGTCCAAAATTAAACTTCGTTTGATTACATCAAAAATTGAATTATTGGGGTTCTTTGATATGCCAAATCTAACCGTGTATTTAGATTTTTAATTTTGGGTCCTGTTTTTTAAATTTGTCTACATTAAGGTCCAAAGGGTCCAAAATTAAACTTAGTTTGATTTTAACAAAAATTGAATTCTTGGGGTTCTTTGATATGCTAAATCTAAACATGTGTTTAGATTTTTGATTATGGGCCCAGTTTTCAAGTTGGTCCAAGTTGGGGTCCAAAATTAAACTTTGTTTGATTTCAACAAAAATTGAATATATGGGGTTCTTTGATATGCTGAATCTAAACATGTATTTAGATTTTAGATTTTTGGCCCAGTTTTCAAGTTGGTCCAAATTGGGGTCCAAAATTAAACTTTGTTTGATTTCAACAAAAAATGAATATATGGGGGGTTCTTTGATATGCTGAATCTAACCATGTATTTAGATTTTTTATTTGTGGACCCCGCTATCAAATTGGTTCATATTGAGGTCAAAAGGGTCCAAATTAAACTTTGTTTGATTTCATCAAAAATTGAATCATTGGGGTTCTTTGATATGCCAAATCTAACCGTGTATTTAGATTTTTAAATTTGGGTCCCGTTTTTTAAATTGGTCTACATTAAGGTCCAAAGGGTCCAAAATCAAACTTTGTTTGATTCTAACAAAAATTGAATTCTTGGGGTTCTTTGATATGCTGAATCTAAACATGTGTTTAGATTTTTGATTATGGGCCCAGTTTTCAAGTTGGTCCAAGTTGGGGTCCAAAATTAAACTTTGTTTGATTTCAACAAAAGTTGAATATATGGGGTTCTTTGAAATGCTGAATCTAACCATGTATTTTGATTTTGGACATTGGACCATTATAGGTAAATTAAAAAAATTCAAGTTCTTAGACCACATTCTTTCTGTGTCAGAAACCTATGCTGTGTCAAATATTTAATCACAATCCAAATTCAGAGCTGTATCAAGCTTGAATGTTGTGTCCATACTTGCCCCAACTGTTCAGGGTTCACCCTCTGCGGTCGTATCAAGCTGCGCCCAGCGAAGCATTTTATTCCAACCTACGCTGTAGTTTGGCAGAAGTATACTTAGTTTTCAAATCATGAGGTAGAAAGAAACAGAATTTTTTAAAAGAAAAGACATTAAAAAGGTTTTTTCGTGAAGAAGCAAGTCTTCGTTCATGTCATTAACTAGGCAATAAAAAGCCTTATCGTGTTCAGAAATATCCAACTTATCAATTAATTCTTTCTTCAGAATGCGAAGTAAAACATTAGCAATGCAAGCCCTCTGGTAAAGAGCTTTGATTTAAACAAAAAAAGGAGTGATTTTAATTCTAAATCTCGTTTATTGTATGAAAAATCTTGAATTTGTGTTTATGATGTAAATTTAAGATACTTTATCTGTTTAAATGGTACTGTTTACTATTCTTTTTAAAAAAGATAGATGTGATTGGATACAGGTAATTTATCATGCCTTATCTGAAAGAAGTACAGAAAGAGATAAACCAGCATGTAGGGGTGGGGACATAAAATGATCCATGTTTCTATAAGGGGGACAGACAAGTATTTCTTATAGCCAAGGTTTTCACAATAACTCAGTATTGCATTGATGGTGTCATAAGAATTCTTATATCTTTATGTCACTCTAGGGAAAAAAGTAGTATTATATTTTCCCTGCTTTAGGTTGGCCTTTCGTGTACCCAAGGCAAGCAAAGGAAGTCAACTTAGGAGCGCTGTGATTGGATGTAAGGGTACAATATATTTTTTTATTTATTTATGAATAACTGCAGTGTGTATATTTACAATATAAATTTTGAAACACATTGAAGTATTTTCTTGAGAATTATTCGAAAAGGCTTCCAAATTTTCACAAATTTGATGTAAAATGATACCATAAACAAGCTCCGTTGGAAGATATCCATAACTGTTTTGTCCAGGTTTTTATTGTACAAAGTGGTAAATTTAGAAAATGTTAGTATTGTCGCCTATGGAAGAATAAATACTACCGCTTTCCCTATACTGAAGATAGCAAGGGAAATCAAAATCAATCAGAGTTCAGTTATATTGCACTGTTTTAAGGCTTTTGATTAACTTTTTATACATGACTTGGATGGAGAGTTGTCTCATTGGCACTCATACCACATCTTCTTATTTATATTTTTGATTAGTACATTTGATTTTTATCACCAAGAATAGAAATTATTCACAGAGACCAATACTATGTTATGAAAAGTGCTGAGTCATCATAATAAATCAAAATGATGGGTACTGATATAAAACTTTATTCTAGGAATCCAATATTATCTATATTGTATAAAATAAACCAAACTCTAGTTCTTTTGCATTAGTTTTAACCTTTCGCAATGATTGATTCAGCTGGAAACACCATTATTCATGTCGCCACAAATATTTTTCACTGAAATATTTGCCTTTTTGGCTGTCTAATGCCCTAAATGTATTACTTAGGTTTTTCCAAAGACATTATCTATTTAGATTGGAAACTGTCTGGTTTAGTTTGTACTGTTCATAGAGTAAGGCAGTATTTGGCCTAAATAGAAGTATTTTCAGTGTTAAAGTTGTCCATCTAAGGATAAAATAGGCTCAATTGAGGCTAAATTTAGATAGAATTTATACTCTCCTGTGTAAAGAATTGTTCACATTCTTGGCAGTTCATGCAGCAAATATTTCAATAGTGCTTCATTTTGTAGTTTCTATCTTTTATTATATCAAACATATCTAATTTTTCTTTTTCTACTTTTTGGAAGGTCTAATTTTGGAATGATCAATACAGGCAACAAAGGCAACTTTATTGCAGTGTTTTTTGCATATTTAATGTTTTGAGCGTCCAACACCTTTGTCCTTATCATGTCAACACAGAATACTGGATTTTATAACAAGCTCTGAAACTTTGAACCACAATATGGCATATACTAAAGCATTTCCATGACAATGGCGGCCATTTTAGAATTTCTAAATACTGTCTGCACATCTAGGCTTACCAGGTAACATTTCCATAAAGTTTCATCTACCTGAAATCATTTTACATTTTTTTATTTTCCATAGTAACCGTGGCCATTCTGCACATTCCAAAGTCAGGTGCACGACTTCACATGGTGGTAAACATTATAGCATAGTTCCATCAAGATTGGTCCATCCAATTCTGAGAAATAGCGTGAACAAAAAGTGGGGAAGAATATAAATAAAAATAATAATAAGAAAAAAAAGAAACGTAGAATAACAATATGTCACCCCAACTCCGTTGTTGGTGTCATAATAAGAAAAAAAGAAACGTAGAATAACAATATGACACCCCAACTCCGTTGAGAGTGCCATAAAAATAAGAAAAAAAGAAACGTGGAATAACAATATGTCACCAACTCCGTTGAGGGTGCCATAATAACAAAGAAAAGGAGGAAAAGCAATATGTCACCCGACATTGTCATACGGGTGACATATTTAAGAAAAAAAGAAATGTAGAATAACAATATCCGTTGAGGGTGC